CCATGCTGTTTATCAGTTTATTTTGTTACTTAGATTCTACATATGAGTGAGATCATGTGATACTTATCTCTCACTCTGACTTATTTCACTTAGCATGACACTCTCCAGGTCCCTCCATTCCTTTTTACTGCTGTGTAGTACTCATGGTGTAAATGTACCATAGTTTTTTTATCCACCCATCTACTGATGGACACTTGGGCTGTTTCCAGATCTTAGCTATTGCAAATTGTGCTGCTATGAACATAGGGGTGCATATATTCTTTCTGATTGGTGTTTTGGGTTTCTTAGGATATATATTCCTAGAAGTGGGATCACTGGGTCAAATAGCAGTTCGATATTTAATTTTTTGAGGAAACTCCATACTGTTTTCCATAATGGCTGCACCAGTCTGCATTCCCACCAGCAGTGTATTAGGGTTCCCTTTTCTCCACATCCTTTCCAGCACTTGTCATTTGTTGGTTTGTTGATGGTAGCCATTCCGACAGATGTGAGGTGATTCTTCATTGTTGTTTTTATTTGCATCTCTCTATTGGCCTAATTCATATGGTGTTATTGGATAATAGGAAAGGCAATGGAGGTAGTATTCTTGTCTTTTGAGAAAATTTTTCTGACCCTTGCTAACTAGCACAAAGTTGGAATGCCTGGCAGGTTGATTTTTTAGTAAATCAAATTCATACAGTCCAAAAGGGCAGAGGACACAAGACCTTTGTTCTTGAAAAGCCACACTTGAACCTGAATGGTTATTATGTAAGCTTGAGAAGAGCTTTATTTGGCTTCTGAGTTTGAGAATTTCCAACATTCAGCCAGTGTTGAAGCACCTGCTAGATGCTTTACATTGCAAATGTGTATAACTTATTAATGTTTTCTTTTTAAAGGTATCGTTAGTAAAATTTTCTCATTTAGGCAATACTATTCTCTAACCCCAATTAAGCTTTTCTTATGTATTACAGAAAATACTGGTTTAAAAAACTCGTGAAAAATCTAGCAGTTCCTTTCCACACACATTCATTCCTACAGTTATTTACTTACCACAGACCATTGAACCAGTTACTGTGAGAAATATAAGAATGTGTAAGAAAGTATTCTTATCTAATTAAAGAAAATTGGAGCTGTGTATAAAAATAATTATAATTGAGCATTCTTGGAAATTTGGAGAAAATATACTGAAGGCATTTGGGCTTTTACCGAGTAGGGTAGTTCTAGGACAGTGATGGTGAACCTTTTGAGCTCGGCGTGTCAGCATTTTGAAAAACCCTAACTTAACGCTGGTGCCGTGTCACATATAGACATTTTTTTGATATTTGCAACCATAGTAAGACAAAGATCTATATTATTGATATTAGTTTTATATATTTAAATGCCATTTAACAAAGAAAAATCAACCAAAAAAATGAGTTCGCGTGTCACCTCTGACATGCGTGTCATAGGTTCACCATCACTGTTCTAGGAGAAGAAGAAGAATGATAGGACATGGATAAGTCACTGTTTTTATTTTTTAATTTTTTTTTTATTGTTGAGAATATTACAGATGTTCCCCTCCATTGCCCTCCTCCACCCGTTTGGTCAGTAATTATTCAGACTATCTGTTGAAATGATATATATATATATATATATATATATATATATATATATATATGGCATACAGTACGAACATGAATAATTAAAAAAACCAGAATTCACACTTAAGGTAGCGTCACAATTTGAAATTGCTATCCTTTAACAATTATACCATACACAGCTCTGGGGGTCATACCCCAATTGGTTATAGTAATGTAGGAAAAACAGCTGTGAGTTCCTTACTTGGTATACTTTGAAGGTAGGATAGATATTTTGTAGTAGACTTGACTTAAATTCATTTTAATGGTTCTTTTGAGTCTTCGTTAAGCAGAAGCTGTCAAATGAGATGATATACATGAAAAAAATGAAACAATAATACTAATTCAAAATGACAAAGTCTGATGATATTCTCAATTGGGATACCGTATTTGCCGGCGTATAAGACGATTTTTTGGCCCTGAAAAATATGCCTCCAAGTGGGGGGTCATCTTATACGCCAGGTACACTTCAGATAGACTGCCCATAGTGCTTGCCCCGTGCCATAGTGGCCTCCCGATGCCCGCCCACTTCATTCCACATACCGTTCAGGCATCAGC